CTTTTTCGGAACTCAAGATCATTTCCAGCATATCGCCCTTCAGTTTCTCCATCACTACGAATATCCGCTCTGTTGTTTCAAACATACGTTCCAAATTTACCACTCCGCTATGCGATAGATTTTGTAGGATTGCTACTTCGTTTTTCAGTTGGGCTTCTTGCTTAGTGGGAAAACGTAATTTATCGATGACTTTTATGGCCACCGCGCGACCGCTCTTACGATGAACACCTCCGTAAACTATGCCGAATTGTCCGGATCCTAAAACTTCATCTGGGAAGATCTGATATAGTTGTGACATATCGGTAACGTTTTCTTCGGGTTCAGTAATTTCAGCAGGTTCTTCTTGATCTATATAACACACAACGCATTCATTTCAATAATTCATTTTATCACACACAATACCTTCTGTATTATTTATCTCCAAAAAACAAAAGTAATATCTTATTACGAAATACTGTTGTAAATAATAAAAAAATAAATAAAATATAAACTAATAAAAGGCGTAAAAAATATCTCGGGTTATTATTTTGCACAGTGTCACGATAGCAAACTAAATATACATACTAGTTGACACAGTTACAGGCATAAGTGCTTGTCTAATAGTAGTTTCCCACGATCTAGCTATGTGAGCTCCGATACCACTTTCGGGAGGAGAGACTTGGCCGCAATTATCTCCGTATGATGGATCCTCCCCAACATAGTAATCGGCATTGGCAGTTTTTAGCTCAAAGCAATGCATTATATCTACAATACAAAGTACGCAAAGTGTGTAAAAAAGTTCAACTCAGAAAAGCTTGTTGTCTGACACAAAATCTTAAAAAAAGAGGGAAAGAAAGAAAAAATGCACATAAAATTGATAATAACTAATATTAGAAATAACTTCTAATTCGTTTACAAATAAGAACGCACATGAACGAGGTGTTTTAGCAGTTTCAATTGCTGAAATTTCAGCCAATGGTATCTCCTTGTAATATTTAGAACCATTCTCGCTTTGGAATAGTGTTATAGCTTTTGTGTCAAGCCGCCAATAATGTTTTTTTTTCTAAAAAGATTGATAAATAATTTCATTTAAGTCTACACATTTATATTCACAGTAATTAATAACTTAAATAATATCAGAAAATATTAGAATAATTATATAATTTCCAGTGTTTCTATGAATACTTACAACTGGATCGCGATTTGTGAAATGTACCATCCAACCTTCTTTTAATACCTTAGACCCACGTTTCTTAGTATGTTTCACACTTTGTACTATTCGCATTAATGGAATGTTGTTACTTGGTGTAGAATTACAGCTTTTTTAATGAAAAAAAAAGCATGATATTAGAAAAATGACAAATATAAATTTTAAATAAATAAAAATCAAATTGTTACAGTAGGAATTTACCTCGAGCGTCGTGATTTCTGACTTTCATCATAAGCAATGTCATCGTTACATCGTGCATGATCCTGTAATCACATAATTTCAATGTTATAAAACTTTTTCTAAAAATTATATCTTCATTTTTCGCAATCATTTGTTGGAAAGAGAACGAACAACTTACTAGATAATAATTAGGTATCTTATTTTCATTATTTATGAACGATGCATCTTGTGTTGGAGGCGACGATTCTGTGTCACTGTCAGCATCAGCTTCCTCATTTCTAATATCACATTTTGTTTCTAATTCACTGCCAACACCGCTATCTGTATATTCGCCTAGGAAAACATTTTTAATTTATTATATATGTATGTGTGAACATAAAAACAAATTGTTTGAATTTATGTACAAAGTATTCTACCTATATTATCTCGTGGATTTTCTCCGGTACAGTCTTTTGGTATTTTATCCATACATTTTTTGTGCGTATTGTATTTACAATCTTTACACTGAAGGCCTTGTTTAAATATACCCTTTAGCAATTTTTTACAGTACCCACATACGGTTGGGCGTGTATATGTGTGAACTACGAATGTGTGCGGAATTTTTATTCGCGTTGCGAGCTCTCGCTCCACCCAAACGGGCCGTCCTCCAAATATCGGCGAAGAGGACTGTTTTGGTGCCATTATACTTGGTATTGCCTACAAGACAGTATACACTTTATTCAGACACACAAAGAATTTCGCAAATAAAAAAGAATAAGAAAAATATCAAGCCGTATTTATTTGTTTCCAATGTGTATACATTAAATTAAAATCAAATTATATATTTTCGCTCATACCAATGTACTATTATTTTGGCTTGTGTTAAATGTACTATTTGAACTGTGATTATCGTCGGTATTGCTTGTCAGGCTGCTAGTGGAACCCTGACTCGGCGATCTTGGAACATTCAGCATGGCCGAACTACGCCGTCTTTGACTTGCATCTTGTGAACAGTTGTTCGGTACTTTAATGACGCATCTTTTGTGATAGTTCATACCACAACCTACAAAATTAAATAAGCATTTTATTACTGTTAGATGACAAAGATTGCATAAAAAGCATACATTTGACTCAGTAAAAATTATAAAATATTTATCATAAATTTACCTTCACACTTGAGACCTTGTCGAACAAGTCCAAATAGCATTTCACCACAAAAATCGCAAAATGTTGGTACTTTGTAGGAATGCACTGCTAAGGTATGAGGTCGAATGGGAACGTATTCGCTTGGCACTTGTGCTAAAATGTCAAACAATTTTTTTTATAACTATACATATTTAAAAAAATTAAAATTTGAAAACCATTGCAACACACAAGCTTTTCTTACCAGTCAACACGATTTCTACCAATGTCTCGTCAACTACTTCCGTAGCGTTTGTAACCAACTGCAAAACATTTGTGGAATTGTAATCGTGCTTGAATAAAATTAATCTCTCAAACAGATGATTCAATCCGTGCTCCGGACACTTGGTGTTTATAAAATCACAGGCGAGATCTTTCAGGGCCTTAAGAGTAAGCGTGCTGCTGTCGACCGTGACCGTGTCACGTATCAGACCAAACTGGAATAAAAATGTAACTTCTGCTCCCTCCATGATGCTTCGCAAATTTTTTCCTGTAATGTATACACGAACTCATAAGTACATAGATTAAAACTGTAATACTTAAAAATTAGTAATATATTTTAATTTTCTGTCCATACAGAGTATAGAAGCTTGAATTTGTAATATTATTGCAATGTTGATGTAATATTTTTGAAATGTTACAATATTGCTGCAATGTTGCTGGAATAATTTGTACTATATGAAAAGTTCTGGTTTTATTAAAATTAATTAAAACAACAATTAATTAAGATTTATTTCTCCTCTTTATATATATAGTAGAAAATTTGTAATTTATAATATATATTTAAAAGTTACAAGAGAAACAGTGAATAAAGGATTTATATTTTCAGAGCACCAAGATAGAAAAAATAAGCCAGATGTATAGCAGATGTGTAAATAAATATCCGGAATAATGAAAAAATAAATTAATTGCGAGAGAGGATTATAAAAATACCTGAACAAATATGTTCAGTGTATTATAATGATTTATGTGCAAAAATAATTAAATCACTCATTATGCCTTCTCTCTCTGCCGTAATGTCAAAGAGTCATCGGCGAAGGAGCCTCTTATTCACGATTTCCACGCTGGCTGATTTTTTTCCCATGCAAGTGAATCATTCATCGTTCCAAATGACATGCGTGAAGCGTCCCGACGAGAGAGATGCGATAATCTCCTTGCGTGTCATACAAAAGTATCCTCTATAATGTGGCTTATCCGGCGCACAAGGAGTTTCGTAATCGACCTATGCAACACGTCCGGTTCGTCCCGTGCGAATTCTCGCGAAGCGAGGAAAAAGCGAAGATAGAAAGAGAGAGAGAGAGAAAAAAGATAGAAAGGAGAGAGAATGACGGGACGGGAGGTAAGCGTAGAAGCGAGCGACAAAGAGTTATGCGCACACCGACGAATCCCCGAGTCCGGGGATCGACTCCTTACATACTTCCTCGTGCGCCTCGTCGGCTCCGACTCGGATGTGCGACGCGGCTGTTCTCCTTCACCTCAGGAACGCGGTGGCATAATTGACAGAACGATCGCGAGCCAGCCAGCGAGCGGGTGTCACTGTCGTGCGCGCCGTCAAGTCCATGCCTGACACACATTCGCCGATGACATTTTACAGTTATCTCCAGGTGACCGACCCACCTTGACGTAAAACCCTCTCCGGTGCCAGTGCAGCCAGTTATCCGTCGCGGCAATACGCACGCCACTTCCGGGGGCCTTCACGACCAACAGCGCTCCCGAGAGTTCCGAGAGACTTACTGCCAGAGTTACTATCGAGGCGGCATTTCTCAAATGATAAGTCGAAATGAATGTGGATGATAACAACAAAGAAATACCTGAGAAATAGATGTGTTTTAGATGAAATTTATTGAAAATCTCTCTCTATGTGCACAAAATGTGTACGTTGAACTATGTAGAGAAAAAAGTCTCTAGTATCTATAATATATTTTTCATATTTGCAAAACTATTTTTGTCTTTATTCCTACGCCAAAGAATAATAAAAGTTATTTTTCGAACTTAAAGAGAGAGGGAGAGACAAGTATCATCTCAATAATTAAACAGATATTGTAAAATTTTATTAACATATATAAATTAAAATGTGAAAATATTATAAGATCAAAGTTTAAAGATTTTTTAAATGATCAAGATTATATAGATATATTAGAATGTAAGGGAAAAATAAAGACAAATATTTATTACTTATCGAGTGTCATTGGTTGAAAAGTTCATAAAGACAAAATATATATCTACTCTTTCTTTCTTTCCCTTTTTCCTTCCTTTTCCTCTCTTATTGCAGAAAAAGAAAACAAAAGCTTTAGAAAAGAACGAATGATACATATATTTATTATTGACGACAAGTTTGTCAATGCTTCGCGAGAAGTGAATGTATCCAAAGACGATAATTAAATCGAGTTCGACATTATATCTTATAATTAGTGCGGTTTGTCTGTAATTGCGAGTGATTCTCGTGCAATTTTTTAATTTGTACATTTTCATGTCTCCAGAGAAAAATAAGCAGAAGAAAGAGAAGGAGACAGCAATGCCATCGATGGAGAGAGCAATTATACAATCGATGGAAGTAGCATTGCAACCGATCATTGATACTACTATAATATCGAATGTGACGAGTTTTTCTTATACCGTGGTCCGCACCTTGAAACGGCAAGAGTTTAATTTCACATGGGTATAATATTAGATTTTGACAGTTACTTAATTTCAAAGCTAAATATTCATCAAGTATATATATTGATATGTAGATTGTATATATAATTATACTTTTACGCGTACTGTCTAAAACTTTTAGAGTGAATCTCACTTTGACGAGTGAAATCTTACTTTCATAAATTGAAAATTGAGCCACTCTTTTTCAAGACTGGATCAATGTTCACTCTTTAGAGTGAAATTCCATTCCAAAAATTTTAAAAATATGATACAATTCCTATATTTTGAAAATAATTGTATTAAATATAACTCTTTCTTCATTCGATATATATTAATACACTAATGAATTATTTGCATTATCCGAAGTAATAATTGGAATACGTCATACATTATATTGTATACATTCAGTGAAATGTGAAAAAGATATGCAAGTTAGTCAGTTTAATATTTTTTGTAGAACATAATTGAAAAGGGATTTAATAAATCAGCGCCCGGGAAAGAATATGAAATTTCATACATCACAATCAAACAGGCGGCGTCTTTTCTAAATAAACTCATTAGGAAAACACCTTGCTTTCAGGTAATAAATGTTATTTTAAAAGTTTAATTCTTACCACTTTTAATAAAATTAGTACAAATTAATAATCTGAAATATTTATAAACATTTCGTTATGAATGCTTTGAAAGTATGTACATACAATCACAAGATCCGTGATTTCTCAAAATCTGTAAGTATCTATTATATGCAAGTGTGTATAAAAATAAGATCCATCAATTAGTATAAAAAGTATAATTTCTCATTTTATATATTAAAAAGACTTAAAATATAATTATAACTATAAATCAAAATAAATTACATATTATAGATATTTGCTATATACAGTGATAACATAACTGAAAAATTGTTATTTTTTTACCTGCTTGTAAAAAAGAAACGGGAACATATAAAGCAGAAAAAACGTACTTTTATCTTTCTACAATCAGTTATTACATCAAAATTGCAAAATTTCAAAATTAATATTAGAAAATTTTAATGATTCAAAACATTTGAATTCATTTTCTGCAAAATTTCGTTTTTTGAGTTGCATTGTTGTTGCAAATGAACGATTTGCAATTTAAGTACTATTTTAAATAATAATCTTACCGTATATTATACACATAAATTATAGATTAAAAAAATGTCAATTTGATCCCCACATCCCCCCCTCTCACTCTCTCTCTTTCTCTTGCAATGCAAAATATAAATAAAGAATCTTTTAAGAGTATTTATTAATCGAGTCTATGATTGTTTTAGAGCGAACGCATACTTAACGGAAGTGGTTTCAATATTTATCTGAAGAAAGAACTTTATCAAATTACCGATAGCATCAAAGCACGCGGCGTGGTTTACTCTTTGCTACACCTATCGGATGAGCAGAAATGTAAAGGTGTTATAACAATCTCATCTGGCAGCTTTGCATTTACTCTCTGTCATTATGCATTTCGATATGAAATACCGGTGACGGTGGTGATGCCGACAACAACAACAGCAAAAAGAGTCCAGATGTGCCAAGATGTTCTATTAGCACGAGTGCTTATCAGAGGTGGTAACTTACTAGAAGCTCATCATGCCGCTTTAGATATCGCCATAAGGGAAGGCTTATTTTATCTTGACGGGTATTCTTCTTTAGCAAAATCTTATAAAAAATTTGATTGGACGCATTCATTGCGTACTTATGCGTGTTAAAACCGTCGTACACAAATTATTGACGTAAATATGTGTTTAACATAAATATAAAAACAGGTTAAACTGCGAAATCTTTAATACATGTTAAGCTATTAAGTAAAAATATATGTTTTTAATCATTTAAAATATTTGTATTTTATTTTTAAATCAGATTAAGTCAATGTACAACGGTTTTAATATAATATGCGCTATTAGTGCATCCAATTGAATTTGCTATTTGTGTATTAAGTGAAAATACTTTTTCGTTAAAAAATAATATTTTCATCAATGTTATGTACCTATTTTCTGTATGTTTCTAATTTTATCACTCGAAAATTCGTTAACTTGAAGGACATTGATTAATAGTTTTCTTATCATATTTCATTATTGCCGCAAAAGATCATACTCATTTTGTTAATAATAAGTTCTTAAGTGAATTATTTAATATTTCTTCGATAGGAACGATCATCCAAACATGATTATTGGTCAAGCCACCTTGGGCATAGAAATCATGAACCAACAAAGTAAGATTGATGCGGTGCTTTTACCGACGACAATTGAAGGTTGCGGATTAACAACAGCTATTGCAATAGCTATTAAAGGGTGCAATTCAAAAATAACAGTTATTGTAAGTTAATAACTTCTATATAATTGTCATTTATACTGTTTCACTAATTAGTTATATCAAGGAAAAAGATTGTATTCACTTCCCAGTGAGAAATGATAATGGAATCGACGTCGATTCCATTGTCATTTCTGACTGGGTTAGATAAATTTGTAGTATAATTTTAATTCTTAGGAAGTTCGAGGTACAAGTTTTGATTTATTCCAAGACGTGAAGAAACAAACGGATTTACTTAATGAATTGAATATTATTCGTCCGAAAGAGTATATAGTGTGTCCTTTAAGAAACATGCCGCATTCCGTGATCGATAGGTTTATTTCGGTAGATCCAAAGTCGATTCATTTTGCATCCATACATCTACACAAAAATGAATGTTACTACGACTGTTATGGAGCAATTGCTTTAGCTGCAATTTTATCTGGTCAGCTTGATGATCTACACGGAAAAAGGTAACTTCTTGTTCCGATAGTTTTCTCGAATTTATTAATTTATTAATTTCGTAGCAACGCGTTTTACATGTTTTATAATCATAATGTATGCACTACACTGAAAAAAAAAATTGGCTGCTGCAGCAAATTAGATGGTAAAATATGGCATAGCATTTTTAATTGATTGTATCAGTCAATTTTTGGTTGTGTTAGCCTATCGAAATCCTATACTAACATTGCGGATAGGCT